GGCACAGTGGTGAAGCCACTGCTCATGATGCCTGCCTGGTTCCAGTCCCAGCCACTCTCTGCTTTCCATCCAGCTTCCTGGTCATGCAACGAAGGATGCCTCAAGTACTTGAGTCCATGCCACCCATAAAGGAGTTCTAGGCTCCTGGCATTGGCCCCTGGTCCAGTCCTGGCTGTGATGGGCATTTGGGGAGTGAACCAGTGGATGGAAGATCTCCTCCCCCTCCCTCTCCCTCTCTCTCCTTCTGCCTTTTAAATAAATAAACCACATAACATTTAAAAAAATCTTTTTGCAAACGGAAACCTAAAAGACAGGACAATTCAATCCATGTGATGTTCTGAATTCCATTCTAAAACCAAAATAGATCATTAAAAAAAAAAAAGAAAAGAAAAGAAAAAGACTCAGATTCCAGTTCGGACTCTTCTGCTTCACAGACCTCTGCCAAGCCTTTAGGATCTCAGAGCCTCGGGCTTCTCATCCAGTCGCAGGGCTGATACTGCCCTCCGTATCTAACGGGCTTGTCATGGAGCTCAAAATACGATCATGGGGCATTGCAGGCTGTCAGAGCTGCACCCGGAACCGAGAGCCTCTGGGGAAGGAAGGAGGAGACGTCTGTGGGTTTGCAGCAGAGGCAGAGAAGGTAGAAGCCACCACGAGGCAGACGGCAGCTTCTCCCGCGGAAGGCTGTTAGCAGCTGCACAGAGGTGGCAAGGTTCCCACGGCGGGGTCGGGGAGCCTGGGCCGTCCTCCCCTGCCAGGCTTGCTGAGCAGGCCCTGGTGCCCAGGCTGTGCCAGGACATGCTCCTTGGCTCAGAGCCCTGCCGGCTCTTCCTGCAGGGGCTGTCGGTAGGGGAACTGCCCCTCCCCCCACCCGTTCCTGCTGCCAGGCCTCCTGCCCTGCCATCTCCAGGTTCCCTGACCTCCTTGTTGATCAAGAACTCCAAGTTCTTCCTGAGGTCCAGCCTAACTGCCCCCTGTTTTCCAGAGATGTGAATATGCCTCGCCTTTCCTTAAGGTGACAAAACCTTTGCTGGCCAAAGGGCTGGAATGGCAGCGGCTGCCCCCGCCACTGAAGCCTCAGCACGCCCATGCCTAGTTTGCAAGGTCCCCAAAGCCCTTGTCCTTCCCTCCCCTGGAAGTTACAGAACAGCGGGAGCCCCGTGCAAGCATCTTCTTCCTCCCCCCCTGCTGGTGGCGGCCCTCAGCAGGTGGACACCCCCAGTGGACTTGGCCACCCTCCAGTTCCTCGGCGTCACTGACTGACTCACATCCTCCCTGCTGCCCCGTAGGAGCTGAGCATCTCACACCCTCCGTCCAGTTTCCGAGGCCCTCCCTCGGCTCTGCACCCACCAGGTTGCATCACCTGCCCACCATGCCGGCCTCTCCTGCAAGGCGGCCAGCAGCCCTGGGCTCTCCCTTCCTGCTCTCCTGACACCTGCCTCTCCCCTGACTGGCTCTTCCCCCTGGACTCCCAGCAGCTGCCCCCAGCCCTGTGCTGCCTTTGCCTGCCCCTGTGTTGAGTGTAATGGAAGAAAGAGCTTTGCAATCAAACCTCAGGGTTTGTGCCTCCGCTGCTAACCTGGGATGCACTGGTGCTTAGTTAAGGCTGGGAGTCTCTCTCACTCCTTGCTGCCTGTCTGAACACGGCCAAGTTCCTTTCCTCAACCATAACACGGGAGACACCGTGGTACCTCCACTGTCTGCTGTGAGGACTAAATCATTTAATAACACAGGAATTTACGCTAGACTCGGATTCATTTATAAAAATGCCTGAGGCCGGCATAGTGGTGCAGTGGGTCGTCCCACTGCCTGCGATGCCGGCATCCATATCAGAACGTCAGTTCCAGTCCCAGCTGCTCCACTTCCCAGCCAGCTCCCTGCTAATGTGCCTGGGAAGAGTAGCAGAAGGTGGCCCAAGTGCTTGGGCCCCTGCCACGCATGTGGGAGACCTGGATGGAGTTCCAGCCTTCTAGCTTTGGCTTGGCCCAGCCCTGGCTGTTGCATCCATTTGGGGAGTGAGCCAGTGGTTGGAAGACCTCTCTCTGTGTCTCCTCTCTCTCTGCCTCAACTGCCTTTACCTGAGCTGCCTTTCAAGTAAATAATTTTTTTTTAATGCTTGGCACATATGTTGTGTGTTAGCGGCTGTTCTTGTTAGCTGTGTTATCTTGCCCAACTGATTTCACCTTGCTGAGCCTCAGTTTTCTCATCTGAGAAATGGAAATGACAATGCCCACCTTTCTGGACCAATGACACAGTGTTTACAGAGCAGCCAGAGCAGGGCCAAGCACACAGCAGTTGTTCAATCTCCTTCCTGGGGGGTGGAGTGGGGGGGTTGCTCTCCCTCCTAAGTGCTGTGGCAGCCCTACTGGCGGGTTCTCTGGAGTCAGGAACTCGGGTTTCCATCCTCAGGGGCTGTGTCCCACCTGGCCTGCCCAGTACCGGCACTCACCAGAGCCTTAGAAAACACGCAGAGCTCAACAGATCCGCCGGTCCTCCCGTATCACACCAAGTGCCTACTGCCCTGGCTGCTCTCCCCTCCCCCACAGTAGCATAAGGGGCCGAGGAGTCGGGGAGGGGAATCAGAGAGCCCTGAAACGCCCGGTGACCACCTCTGACGGAGACTTCCTTTATTCCAAGTTCCACCTGGAAGTGGGACCAGGACGTGTCCCAAATTATGGATGAGGAAACTGAGGCCCGCTGGGGATCAGCACACAGGATGAGTCACTCACTCCCCGGTGACTCTCCCAGTGACCTTGGGATGACTTCTCGTGCCTTGCCTCAGTTTCCTTAAGAGTAAATCCAGAGGGAGAATGGCACCTGCGCCAGGCTATTGTGAGAATCAAAGGAGGAACACAAGAAGGACTTAGCGCGTGGAGGTTGGGCACCACAGTCTCTTCGCTGCGGGACAGGATGTCCCAACCCATGTCAGTCCCTGACACACCTTCTGCCACAGAGGATTATATGGGGGGCCTCCACCCCCACCACCTGACCCATCCCGATCATCTGGAATCGCCCGCACACCCAGCGCTCAGCACGCGTTGGCACAAGCTCCTCCTTGGAGACAGCCCGAGGCTCCTGGGTTTCCTGCGTTGTCACCAGGAATTGCACCCCTGCGTGTTGGTATCTCTACCTCTTCCATCTGATTCTGTCCATCGGACTACACCACCAAGCCAAGTGCCCAGCCTTTCACGAGGTGGCGTGAATTATGGACAAATCCGCTTTGCGCTGAGCCTAGTGCTGTGTCTGGCCTGACCCAGGTGTTCCCAAGGCATAGCATGACTAATTGAGCACAAATAAAAAAATATAGACAAATAGCCCTGCCCCCTCGCTCCGTGGTTACCACCACCTCCTGCTTCTAGACCAAAACTGACAGAGAGCGTGGATGAGACCCCGAACTTCAAAACATGACCAGGCCCTTAAATACCAGGCACCTGCACAGGTAGAGTCCAGCCCCGCAGGGCTCACTCCCACGTTTTAGCCTCTGTCTTTTGGGGACAGCTTCATGGGAGCTACTCTCTGGCCCCATTCTCCTTCTGGCTCTGAAACCCCCATGCCTGGCCTCCAAGCTCACTTTGGAGCCCAACTCTCACCAGGTCCCCACCGTGCCATCTCGACCACAAACTTGCCTTCTGCACAAAGACCGAGCCCGCCTGCCTCGATAGCACCCGCACGGCCTCACTCCGCCTCACCATTGGGCTCTCTGCTGCCAACTGGCTCCAGGAAGAAATGAGGCTGAGCTGGACACTGCTCTCTGCGGAGTCATGACCTTCTCAGCACTGCCTCCCACTGGCCAGGGTAGGGAGCAAAGGGGAGGGCAGGCCCTGGCGGTCCAACCAGTACACTCAGGGTAAGGCTGGCACTGCAACAGCACCATTGGGCTCGTTGGCGCCTGCTGCCCGAAGGGCAGGGTAACTTGGGACAGGACCATCAGCCCTTACCCCTGGGTCCACAGGAGCAGCCCAGAGCCCACTGCACCACGCTTCCAGCCGCCAGGGAGGAAGCAGAGGTACCCACTGACCTGTAGGGATTGAGGGTGCAGACGGTGACGGCTGGGAAGACGAGCTTGTCGGAGTTGAGGTTGATGTTGAGGTTGACCGGGTAGCTGAAGTACTCCCCAAAGAGCAGCCCAAACTGCCAGTACATCATGCCGAAGGTGCAGAGCCAGAGCACGGCCCAGAAGGCCGTCTTCATGCGGTTGTGCTTGGAGCACACCAGGCGGATGGCGCCGTGGATGGTGGTGTTGTTGCAGAAGAACTGGAAAAGCTCGCGGTAGGAGCGGTGGAACTCAATCAGCGCTTCCTCATCCTCCGTGGGCTGCTGGGGCGCCACAGGTTCGGGGCCCGGCCCCTGCTCCTCACGCTTGTCCCCCTTCATGGTCTTTGGGTGGGCTAGGGAAGGCGAGGGCCAAGGTCAAGTAGGGGCTCTGGGTGTCCTCCCTCGTCACCACCTGGACCCAGAGTGAGGCTGCCCCTGCCATGCCCATCTCCCACCCTGAGCCTGCTTCCCCCACAGCTCCTCCCTCTCCCTCCCTCCACCTTTCCAGGAGGCAGCGGACCTGCTGGAGTCGGGGGGCGCCGCCCAAGAGCTGCAGCTGGCCCTCCCTGGAGAGGCCTCTCTGCTTCCCAGGTAAGGCCAGCTCCTGGTTCTGTCCTAGCACCTCCCTTGCCGCCTCCACCACTGCCAGCCTCTGCCTGCTCGGCCAGTCCCGGCCCCGGTCTGCTTCCTTCAGGATCTCTGCTTCCCTCCTGCCTCTCACTCCCCGCGGCTTCTCTGTGCCTCTCTCGGCTCTCCTCTTCCTTGCCAGTCTCCTCTCCGGGGGCCAGACTCTCTGATCCTGCTTCTCTTCCTCTTCGTCCCCTGTCTTTCCTCCTCTCGGTCTCTGGCCCCGGACTCCCTCTCCGCCCCGGGCCTGCAGGCTGCGGGAGATCTGCGCTGTCTCCAGCTCCCGGCTCCCAGGTGTGGCTGCGCTGGGACTGGTTCCTTTCCAGTTGAAGCTGGCAGCCGAACTTCTCCTCCCCCCTCACCTGACAGGTGCAGCGGCCTGGCCAGAGGGCCCGCCCGCCGGCCCGGGATGGGAGCTACAGGAGCCTCATTAGCATCTCAATTAAAGGTGAGCAGGGCCGGGGGAGGGACTGAGGAGGAGTCTGAGCTGGGAGTCCTCCAGAGGGAGGAGGCTCCCGAGGGCAGGTGAACCCGATGGGAGTGGGGCCCTGGACGGTGGGAGGAGGCTGAAGAACAGTCCCGGCTGCTGGCTTGCGGTGGACGTGGTTGGCAGGCGAGGGCCTGAGATCTTGAGTCCGGAGCTAAAAAACCAGGAGGAGAAAACAAGGAAAGAAGATGAGCCACGATGACTGGGACGAGGGTGGGGAGACCAGGAGAACAGGGAAGGCAGAGGAGGGAGACAGGTGGGTGAGGGCAGGGGGTGGACCAAGAGCAGGATGGAGGACGGGCACTTAGCGATCTACCTGAGGAGGTCTCCCCTGCAGGCAGGAGAGCAAGGAGAGGGAGCCCCCGGTGGGCTTCCAGGAGCTGGGGGGGGGGGGTCCACCCTATCCCTCGGGACTCCCACCAAGGGGACCCCCAGGTCAGCCTCGCACACTCCTTGTCCTCCCCTTCCCTCCTGGCTCCTCACCGTGCCCCCAGCCTTGTCCCAGCTGGGGAGGGGCCCAGGTGAAGCTGGGGGTTGGGCGGGGCCCTGGGACATTCTGTTCTTTTTTACACCATTGGCTGCCAGGCCAGGAATGTGTTGTGGTCACGGGGTTGCAGGAATGTGGGCACCAAAAGGCTGCATAGAGCAGGAGCCCAGGGAGAGGCAGGGACAGGAGGCCCCGAGGAGTGGAGAAGGATGTGGTGTCCGGGCACTGGGTGACTGAGAGGAAGAGGGTAGGCCCAGCCCGAGTCTGCACGGGCCCGGGAGGAAGGAAAAGCTGATTGGTCAGGGCTGTGTTTTCCTCCCAAATCTCGAACTTCAGCCAGCCAGATCAGGAGTGAAATGCTGAGTGGTGAGCAAGCGGACAGGGGAGGAACAGAGAATCAGACTCAGAAGCAGGACCCAAGGCGACAGCAGGAGGCAGGAGGCCCGCAGCCCCAGGGCCCCAGCAGGCAGTGCAGAGTGTAAGCCTGCAGCCATGGGCTGAGCCCTGCTCCTTCTGAGCAGCAACCCCGGGCGCTTGTGGAAGGTGCAAGGTTGCCGGGCCAGCGCGGTGGCACAGCGAGCAAAGTCACAGCCCTTGACGCCCGCATCCCACATGGGTGTGTGTGTGTATCTCAGCTGTTCCACTTCCAATCCAGTTCCCTGCTAACGGCCTGGGAAAAGCAGCAGAGGCTGGCTCAAGGGCTTGGGCCCCTGCCACCCACGTGGGAGACCCAGATGAAACTCTTGGCTTCAGCCTGGCCTAGCACTGGCCATTGAAGGCATCTGGGGAGTGAACTAGCTCAACTAGCATATAGAAAATCTCTCTCTCTCTCTCTCTCTCTCTCTCATCTGTCTCTCCCTTTCTCTCTCTCCCTTTGTAACTCTTTCAAATAAATAGATGAATCTTCAAAAATATAAAAAGAAAGTAGGTGTTTGCCATATTGCAAGGTAAAGATTCTGGTGGCAGAGATAAGAAGCAAGCTATAGGAGCCTGCGGGAGGGAGCAGAGCGGAACCACTGCGGGGTGGGGTCCCGGACTTGGTGGCATCTCAGCTGGATCTAGAAGAACAAGGAGCTTCCCAGGCGAGTAAGAGGGAAGACAGGGTCTTCCAGGCTCGGGGACACCTGGTCTGTGGCTCCCCTCCTGTGGCTCTCCCATGACTTCTTCTTTTTTTTTTTTTTTCTTGGAACCTACTCTTTTCATTTTGTTTGAAAGGTGAAGAGACAGAGAATGAAACAGAGATCTTTCATCTGCTGGTCTACTCCCCAAACGCCCACATCAGTGAGGGCTGGGTCGGGCCAGAGCCAGGAACCTAGAACTCTATCCGGGTCTCTCATGCAGATGGCAGGGACCCAAGCACTTGTGCCATCACCTGCTACCTCCCAGGGTGCACAATTGCAGGAACCTGGAATAGGAAGCAGAGCCAGGACTCCGGTTTGGAACATGAGTGTCCTAAGTGGTATTCTAATGCTAAATGCCCACCCTTCTTTTTTTTTTTTTTTTTTTTTTTTTTTTTTTTTTTTTTTTTTGAAAAGCAGAGTGACAGTGAGAGAGAGAGACAGAGAGAAAGGTCTTCCTTTGCCGTTGGTTCACCCTCCAATGGCCGCCGCGGCCGGCGCGCTGCGGCCGGCGCACCGCGCTGATCCGATGGCAGGAGCCAGGAGCCAGGTGCTTTTCCTGGTCTCCCATGGGGTGCAGGGCCCAAGCACCTGGGCCATCCTCCACTGCACTCCCTGGCCACAGCAGAGGGCTGGCCTGGAAGAGGGACAACCGGGACAGAATCCGGCGCCCCGACCGGGACTAGAACCCGGTGTGCCGGCGCCGCAAGGCGGAGGATTAGCCCAGTGAGCCGCGGCGCCGGCCTGCCCACCCTTCTTATAACTTCTTAAAGTGACAGCTGGCATAAACCAGGATTCTAAACCTAAGCCAGTTGATTTTTTTTTTTAAGGCAGAGTTACAGAGAGAGGAGGAGAGAGAGACAAAGACTTTCCACCCACTGGTTTACTCCCTAGATGTCTGCAATGGCCTGGGCTGGGGCAGGCTGAAGCCAGGAGCCAGGAACTTCTTCTAGGTCTCCCACATGGATGCATAGGCCCAAGCACCTGGGCCATCTTCTGCTGCTTTCCCAGGCCATTATTGCACAGCTGGACCATAAAGGGAGTAGCCCAGACTCGAATCAGCACTCTGGCGTGAGAGGCAGGTGTCCCCAGCAGCAGCTTAACCCCCTGCACCACGGTGCCCACTGCCCTGCTGATGATCTTGACCCCTGCCCAGTCCCTCCCCTGTGAAGGGACAGGAAGGCTCTTTCTGCATTCAAAGATAACCCAGTTTTTTGCAGCTGTAATGACAAAACAGCAGTAGAGTTCAACACAGAGCTGCCCAGGATTCTCCCCCCCTCTGGGGTTGTCTGCTTAAGCCACCAGGGAGTTACTCCCTCCCACAGTGGGTCTGTGCCTTCATCGGCTCGCTGGGTCCTGGATCAGCTCCTTGGCTCTGTAACAAGCTCTCTACACCGTCCCCACCATCCCACAGGACGCAGACACCCCTGCAAGCCTCCATTCTCCCCTGGGCCAGGTCCTTACACGGGGGCTGACCCTACCTGTCCACGAGGCTTTGGCTGCCTGACTGGTCTCCGAGATTCTGATAAGCGCTCCATGCATTTTCTTTCTTTCTTTTTTCTTTTAAGATTTATTTGAAAGGCAGACTAACAACAGAGAGAGAGAGAGAGACCGTGCATCTGCTGGTTCACTTCCCAAATAGCCACCACAGCCAGAGCTGCACCAGGCCGTAGCCAGGAGCCAGGAGTTCCATCCTGGTCCCCGACATGGGTGGCAAGACCATCTTCTGCTGCCTTCCCAGGCACATTAGCAGGAAACTGGATCAGAAACAGAGTAGCCGGGGCTGGAACCAGCACTCCAATATGGGATGCCGGCGTGGTAAGTGGTGGTAAAACCTGCTTCCTTCCTTGTCTTTTCTGTCTGCTGGCAACTTCCTGAAATCTGACCACTGGCTTAAGGCAGCATGGCAAATAGTTTTCATCCCCAGGGCTCTGGGGGAAGTCCTGTGAGGCCCAGGCTGGGCTGGGCTGGGGAGAGTGGTGACCCTGACCTGTCCTGCAGGGTGTGCCTGGAGACCACAGCATTCTAGAACTGGAATGAGCCGGAGCTGGCTTGCTGTTGTGAGAAAAGCAGAAACCTGATACCTGTTCTGAGGTCAGAGCTCCATCTTAAATATTATCTCTGAAAGTGCAGAAATAATACACAAATACACTTGTGCAATCCAGTTTTCCAGCAATTCAGAATAAAACAAAACAACAAAAGCTTCCCTTTAACTAATTCCTTTCCCTACACTTGGGCCAAAGGGAGCCAAGATTGTTTGTTTATCTGTGTCGTTTTGTGTGCCTTTAAAGATATTCTTTAAAGTTTTAGATTCATTTTCATTTTGTTTGAAAGAGAAACAGAGAGAGACAGAGACAGACAGATCAAGATCTTCCATCCACTGCTTCACTCCACAGATGTCTGCAACAGCCAGGCCTGGGCCAGGCCAAAGCCAGGAACTTGGAACTCATCTCCCATGTGGCGACCCAAGTACTTGAGCCGTCACTGCTTGCCTCCCAGGGTCTGCATTAGCAGCAAGTTGGAAGCAGAAGCAAAACGAGGACTCAAACCCAGTTACTCCAAAGGGATGCGGGCATGCCAAGCAATTTTAGCCGCTGCACCAAACCCACCCTGAGAAGTTGAGGCTTGTTTTTTGGAGGTTAGGGACATTGTTGACCTTGGCTTGCAGAGGTCCCTATTCCAGAGCTCACCTTAGCCTCTCCCAGAGCCCAGCCTTTCCTTCCACCTCAGGTGTACCTTCCTCCTCCCTGTACCAGCCACCCTCTAACCCTGTGGTATGATCGTAGAATGTGCAAAGCCTGCAGGGGACCTGCAGTGGAGTGAGGATCCTGAACGGGCAGGGTCCTCCTGCCTCTTATTCTCTGTATGATGAGAGGAATTGCTCTCCCCTCCACACAACCAGGGAGAGCCCATCTCAGCACTTCCCACTGCTTACTGTTTGTCATTGTCCTGGTGTGTGTCTGCACATGTGTGTGTGTGTGTGTACATATGCGCATGTGTGTATTGGTCCTCTTCTCATCACCTTAACTGATTACCAAAGAGGGATTTCTTGGGAAAGAAAAGCCTTATTTCCATTTTGAGTTTGGAGGTGACAGTTCAGGTGGAGCGGTCCCATGGCCTGGCATGTGTGGAGGCTGGTCATGGCGGCGGGAGAGGAAAGACCACATGGTGAATCAGGAAGCAGAGAGAGAAGAGCTGGGCCCAACTTGAGCTCAGAACAATCAACCCTCTTGCAAGAACCGCCCTGCAAGGGCACACCCCCAGTGACCTAAGCCCCTCCCACCACGCCCACTTCTCAGCCACCTAAGGAGATGGAGTCTCTCCCCTTGATCCCTTAGCCATTAACATGAGGACATCCGAGTTTCAACATCTGCATGAGTTTTGGGGACACAGGTTCTGCTGCACTCAGTGTGTTGACATGTATGTGGATCCTACTGTGAGTAGGGGACCAGGCTTCAAGCTCTTTGGGACCTCAGTGTCTAATGGTCACTATTTGTGGACCCACTCTGCAGGAGACAGAAGATTTGCAATTAAGTAAGAGTCAAGGTTTGTCTTTTTTATTTATTTTTATTTTTTTAAAGATTTATTTATTTGAAAGGCAGAGTTAGAGAGAGAGAGCAGGAGAGACAGAAAGAGGTCTTCCATTTATCCACTGTTTCACTCCCCAAATGGCAGCAAGAGCCGGAGCTGGACTGGTGTAAAGCTAGGAGCCTGGAGCTTCTTCCGGGTCTCCCACATGGGTGCTGGGGTCCAAGCACTTAGACCATCTTCCAGTGCCTTCCCAGGCACATTAGCAAGAACTAGATTGGAAGTGGAGCAGCCAAGACTTGAACCTTTGCCTATATGGGATGCTGGCACTGTAGGCAGCAGCTTAACCCACCATGCCACAGCGCTGGTCCTTATCCTTTTAATTTTTATTTAATTTTTCTTTTTGTTTGTTTGTTTGAAAGGGGGGGGGTTAAAAAGAGATAGTCCATCCACTGAGTCACTCCCCCAAATGCTCACAACAGTCAGGACTGGGCCCAAGTCAGGATTCAGGATCTCCATCTGGTCTCCCATGTGGGTGGCAGGGACCCAAGCCATTGAGCCATCCCCTGCTGCCTCCCAGGGCACACATTAGCAGGAAGCTGGAATCAGGAGCAGAGCCAGGCCGGATGTAGAGGCAGGCATCTCAAGCAGCATCATAGCCACTATGCCAAATGCTGATCCCCAAAGCTTATCCCTGACAGAGAGGAATTTGCCATGAGAACACATCCCCAGCCAGCAACCACCCCAGCTTCCTGTGATAGCCCACATAGCTGCCATCTACTGACGTATCTGAATTTCATTCACTTTCCTTCCCAGCCTCTATCCTCCCCAGGCTGGAAAAAGTCCCTCTTTATTTGTACTGCTAGAGATGATCACCTGTTCTGCAGCGGCTGCCTGCCGTGGAGAGAAGTGGTCCTTTCACAGGAGCGTGTACTGCATCGGAAGGAAGAGCTGGAACCCCCAGAAGGGTGCTTTGAAGTTCACTGTTAGTTTACTCCACTGGGTGGAGTCCGGGTTTATCAACCTTGGTACTACTGACAGTTCGGGCTGGATAATTCTCTGTTGCAGGGGTTGTCCTGGGTGGTGCAGGCACCACCCTGCGTCCACATTAGATTCCAGCGATCCCTCCGGAACACTTTCAACCAAACATGGGTCACTGGGAAGAAGGAGCTCTCGGCAGCTGCTGCTGCTGCTGCTTCTTCTTCTTCTTCTTCTAAGATTATTTGTTTATTTATTTGAAAGGCAGAGAGAGAGAGAGAGATCTTCCATCCATGGGTTCACTCCCCAAATGGCTTCAACAGCCAGAGGTGGGCCGATCCAAAGCCAGGAGCTTCATCCAGGTGCAGGGGCCCAAGAACTTAGACCATCTTCTACTGCTATCCCAGGCCATTAGCAGGGAACTGAATCAGAAGAGGAGCAGCCCGGACTTTAATCAGCACCCATATGGGATGTCAGCACAGCAGGTGGCAGCTTTACCTGCTATGCCACAGCGCTGGCCTCATCAGCAGCCCCTTTTTAGGGAGGCCTTGCAGAAGTCTGCACTCTCCCACCTTCTAGGAGTCTCTGGGGGCACTCAGTCTGGGTCTGGTGCTGCATAATGATATATTTTTCTTATTTATTTATTTATTTATTTATTGACAGGCAGAGTGGACAGTGAGAGAGAGAGAGACAGAGAGAAAGGTCTTCCTTTGTCGTTGGTTCACCCTCCAATGGCTGCCGCGGCCGGCGCACCATGCTGATCTGAAGCCAGGAGCCAGGTACTTATCCTGGTCTCCCATGGGGTGCAGGGCCCAAGCACTTGGGCAATCCTCCACTGCACTCCCTGGCCACAGCAGAGAGCTGGCCTGGAAGAGGGGCAACCGGGACAGAATCCGGTGCCCCGACCGGGACTAGAACCTGGTATGCTGGCGCTGCAAGGCGGAGGATTAGCCTAGTGAGCTGCGGCGCCGGCCATAATTATATATTTTTCAAGGATTTATTTATTTATTCGAAAGTCAGATTACGAGCCGGCGCCGTGGCTGAATAGGCTAATCCTCCACCTTGCGGCGCCGGCACACCGGGTTCTAGTCCCGGTTGGGGCGCCGGATTCTGTCCCGGTTGCCCCTCTTCCAGGCCAGCTCTCTGCTATGGCCAGGGAGTGCAGTGGAGGATGGCCCAGGTGCTTGGGCCCTGCACCCCATGGGAGACCAGGAAAAGCACCTGGCTCCTGGCTCCTGCCAGGATCAGCGCGGTGCGCCGGCTGCAGCGGCGGCCATTGGAGGGTGAACCAACGGCAAAGGAAGACCTTTCTCTCTCTGTCTCTCTCTCTCACTGTCCACTCTGCCTGTCAAAAAAAAAAAAAAAAAGAAAGTCAGATTACACAGAGATAGAAGGAGAATGTTAGACCCTCGGAGTGAGGATGCTAACACGTCGAGAGGCACACCCCAGAGACTCAGACTCCAGACCAGCTGATGCAAAAGCAAAAGGATTTATTCGGCGTCTGCGCAGACGGGCCTCCTGAACTCGGGAGTCCAGAGAGCGCCCCCAGCACAAAGCCACATGGTTTATATACTCGCAGCAACCAATCAAAAGCACTATAGAGTCCATGCACACAGCAGTCCAATCCGCGAGCTGATCATGTGAAGGGCATGCGTCTTCTATCCAATCAGCTACGGGATCACATGGGAGGCATGCACCTCGTCGCCATTTTGTTGTTTACTTCTATAGTAGTTCCTTTCCCTGGCAGCGCCATCTTGTTCACCCTGAGGGGGGGGACGACATCTCGCTCCCTTTGTTCCCCTTGTGGGAGAGCAGCGTCCCGCTTCCCACACCGTTATTTGAGTATTATGAGGTATACAAACTGGGTTAGGTCTTAGCACAGCCAGGCACAAGTGTCGCAGCTAGCTAAGCATAGGGTCCCTTATTTTATAGCTGCACCTAATTTTAGCTTTGGGGGAAAAAGTTTAGGGCTGTACTTTTAAACTTTAATTTTTATTTGGGGCAAAGGTGACTTCTTGTTTTTAATGGTATTGGCTTAGGTCACTCCATCTTGGTTTGATTTTTAAGGTTCTTCAGAGAAGAGAGAGAGAGGTCTTCCATCCACAGGTTCACTCCCCAACTGGCCGCAACAGCTGGAGCTGTGCCTATCCGGAGCCAGGAGCTTCTTCCGGGTCTCCCACGTGGGTGCAGGGGCCATCCTCCACTGCTTTCCCAGGCCATAGCAGAGAGCTGGATGGGAAGTGGAGCAGCCGGAACTCGAACCAGAGTCCATATGGGATGCGGGCACTACAGATGGTGACTTTACCCACTGTGCCACAGCGCCGGCCTGCATAATGATGTTAATAAAACTTTGAGGAAGCTGATAAAGAAACCAGAAGGAAAGAAGCAAAGACCACACCCTGTCTACGGAGAGAGTGTGGGTTTCTCACCCCTGTGACTCTCCCTTCGTCCCCAAGGGAAGGTTGGGTGGCCCTTATAATAACCCCTGATTGACATGCTTCTCTGTCATGGCGCAGCCAGGAAGCTGGAAGTCCTTCAGATGAAAGAAACTCAACTCAGGGAATTGGCAAGGGTAAGGGACTGGGGGACAAACAGGCCACTCAGGAAACAGCAAAGCAAGAGGCAGCCGCCATCACCAGGACTGGAAACATTGTACACAAAGAAGCTTCCAGGGCTGTTTGGCAGGAAGTAAGCCGTGGGGGCCGCCCAGCAGGAGATGAGATTATGGAAGGCGGGAAGGAGGAAGCACAAGCAACTGCGGGCGGGCGATGCCAGAAAACAGAGGGCTCCCTCCCTCCTGCCCGGCGCCTGCCTTCTGCCTCTGCCTCCTATTGGTGACCCTCCCCAGCAGCTAGAAGGAAAGGGAGTCTGGGAAGTGTAGTTGTCAGGGGTGGCAGCGCAGAGCCGGGGAAGGCAGAGAGCGGACCTGTGAGCCAATCAGCAGCTGACTGGCACAGAAAGCTAAAGGCCCAGAGGAAAACCGTAGGCTCCTTCCTTCCTCAGGACCTGGGGATGCCTGAGGGGTACAAAGACAACACGGGATCAGCAGCAGAGAGCAGGATGGATGGTTCAGGGGTGAGTGTTTAGCTGAGTGGCTGAGATGACAATTAAGACACACATGACCCACATCAGAGTCCCTGGGGTCGGTACCTGGCTCTGCTCCCGGCTCCAGCCTCCAGCCAGTGCAGGCTCGGGAAGGCAGTGCTGATGGCTCAAGTAGTTGAGTTCTTGCCACCCACATGGGAGCCCTGGATGGGGGCAGGGTCATTGCAAGTGTTTGGGGAGTGAATCAGTGGTTAGGAGAGCTATCTCTCTGTGTCAAATAATTATTTTATTTTTTTAAATTTATTTTTATTTCATTTATTTGAAAGGCAGAGGGACAAAAAGAGAGGGAGGGACAAAGAGAGCCAGGTTTCTGGCTTTGGTCTAGACCAGATCTGGCTGTTGTGGGCATTTGTGGAGTGAATCAGCAGATGAAAGATCTCCCCTCCCACCCCGTCACTCTGCCTTTGACATAAATAAATCTGTTTTTAAAAAATTAATAGAGGCCAACATTGTGGTATAATGGGCTAAGCCGCTGCCTGCAGTGCCAGCATCCCATATGGGCACCAGTTTGAGTCCCAGCTGCTCCACTTTTTATCCAGCTCCCTGCTAATGTGCCTGGGAAAGCAGTGGAAGATGGCCCAAGTCCTTTGGCCCCCTGCACCCATGTGGGAGACCCGGAAGAACCTTCTGGCCCCTGGATTTGGTCTGGCCCAGCTCTTGCCACTGCAGCCATTTGGAGAGTGAACAAGGAGATAGATCTCTCTCTTTCTGTCTCTGTCTCTCCATCTCTCTCTCTGTATCTCTGATTTTCAAGTAAACAAAAATAAATCTTTTTAACAAATTAACAGAAGCCACTTAAGTATATCAAAAGAAGCAGAGAAGGAAGGGAAGGAGGAAGAGGAGGCCAGAGGAGGAGGAGAAGGCTGTTATAGTTCAGCCCGCTGGGACAAGAAGGGCTCTGAGGGTGTGGCCCCTGTGAGGGAGACCAGGCAGCAACCTCTCACAAGACAAGAAGCTTGCTGGGGGACACACAAGAAGCGACGACAGTGAAAATTCACCCATGTGCCTGTGTCAGAGCGGGGTCCCTGGGGCGCTTCACTGCGTCAGACCTCAGCGGAAAGAAAGAGTCGGGGGGTCTTTCAGAGTGAAATTTCAGATGCAGCGACATGATGTCAGGGACCTGCTCCACTAGAACCAAGGGGAGCTGGAAGGGGGCGTGTGCTGCTGGGGGCGGGGCAGGGCGGCGCAGGGCAGGCAGCGTGTGGAAGAAACAGGAGTGGCTTGGGGCTGCCCATCTTGCTCTCTCCCCTCAGCATCATGCAAGTGTGAGGTTTTAATCTTAACAATAAAAGGTGAAAAGCAGAGAGGGAAGAAAAGCACGGTGGTTGCTACACGCCCATCCCTTCTGCTCTGGGGTGCGGAGCAGGGGTGAGTCCAGCCGCAGCCCTCAGCTGCCGGGGTCTGTCCAGAGCAGCAGCTCTGAGCCGTGTACGCCCCCTTGAAGTTCCTTCCCGTCCTGGGCAGCTTCATGCTCTCCGGATCCACCACTGGGAGTAGAGCACGAGGCTGGGCCTGCACAGGAGAGGGGAAGGAGCCTTGGGGAAATGTCTGAAGCTCGGGCTGGTCCTTCAGCCACACTGGTGTCTCCTCCTCAGCCTCCTCCCGCGCCAGAACATCCCAGCTCCACCAGCGAGAGCCTGGCCAGGGTGGGGGTGGGACTGGAACAGAGTCCATCCGGGAGGGCGCAGTTCCCAAGCGATCCATCTCAACCCAAGGGAGACACCCCTGAATCCAGACAAGGAGGCAGTGGGCTTGCATGCGGAATGAGCTGGAACCTGGAAATCCAGAGCCCCAGGCCCAAGCTGGTTCTGGTGTGAACTGGCTATGCGATGTGGACATCATTCATTTGTTCCATAAATGAGCAGTGAGCATATAGCACGTGCCAGGCTCTGGGCTCAGGAAGCACTGGGCCCCCAAACTCTGGCATTCAGTCCAGGCCACTGCAGAGGTCACAGCCCGGGTGGGGAAGCAGACGGCAGGTGGCGGGTCACAGACAGCCGTCTATGGCGGGGGCGGTGCAGGTGATTCCTGGGGTCTGAGGGTGGGAGTCAGCCAGGCGGAGGAAACCAGGAGATGGCAGAACACCAAGCAAGTCACTCCACGGGGGACTGTTCACGGCAGGAAGGGATGTGGTGGGGAGAAAGGGGCTGGCACTAGACCGAGGCACCTTGCGAGCCTGGTCTCCCACACATGGCACCCTGAACCTCGGTCTTCTCCTGCAGGTGAGGGGCTGCACTGGGTGGGCTCTCAACGCCCCAGGTTCCCAGGGATTCCGAGGCTCACAGGTGGGCAAGCTGGAACCCAAGGCTGTGGCTTCCCGACTCCACCCCAGCAGGCTCCTACTTATGAGGGATTCGGTCCACAAATCCTCCCATTGGCTCCTAAGGGCAGGGAGGAGGGCGGCTGCACCTTCCCGAGTGTCCTGGACAGTGCCCCCTACTGTGCAGGATGGGAGGCTGGGCAGGGTGCATACTGGCTGGCTGATAGAGCTGGTCCCAGATGGCCACAGAGCAGGGAGGGCGGGGGGAGCTGCCCGCAGGAACTTCTGGGCCCCAAATACTGCCTCTGCTGGCCCATGGTGCTGTCAGGCTGGCCGGTGTCCGAGCCCTGTCCACGGATGGGTCGGCTCCGCCCCCCTGGGATCTGCGGGGCCGGTGCGGGGCATCTGCACAGGCCCTGCCGCCCCTTCCCCCGCAGCGGGGTCCGGGCACGTCCCCGCAGCCCTCGGCTTCCACTCCGGCTTCCGAAGAAGGGAGGAGGCCCAGGTTCCGGGCCTGCCGCTCTCACGTGCTTTCCCGGCCACCCCTCCCGCCCCGCGTCGAGGCAGCCAAGCCTGTTCCTCTTCCCCCGACAGCGATTGCGACAGGCCGGCCTCAGCTCCCGGCGCTCCCTGTCCCCGCCCCGCGGCCGGCTCGCTCCACTCCCACTTCCTGAGCCCTGCCGCTGGAGCCCTGGAGGCCAGGCCCGGCCGCTCCCGGCCCCGGGGGGCACGTCGGCCCGGCGGCTGGGCTCGGGAAACCAGCGCCATCGCCGCTCAGGACGTCCCAGCTTCCCACCCTGCTCCCGGGCCTCCACCCAGCTCGTAGGACAGGCCCAGTGGCCACCATGCGCCCGCCTTGGGCCGCCTCTGACCGCGGCCTGGCGTGGGGGCCCCTGGTGCTGGGCCTCTGCGGACTCCTGGCTGCATCCCAGCCCCAGCTGGTGAGGGAGGGACCTGGCGGGCGGGCAGGCGGGCAGGCAAGGGCCAAAAAGAGGGGCTGGGTGGCCCCCTGGGGAGGGGCCCTCCGCCACACTGTGGACCCCAGGCTCATTCTTCCCGACCTCATCTCCCCCCCCGAGATACCCCCCTACGGCTCCGAGAACCAAACCTGCTGGGACCAGGAAAAGGAGTACTACGAACCCAAGCACCAGCTCTGCTGTTCCCGCTGCCCCCCAGGTGAGAGGCGATGGACAGGGGAGCTTGGGACACAGGTGGGTTCCTGGGCCCCGGGGGCTGCTTCCAAGGCAAGGCACTGTCCTGCAGACCCACAGCTGGGAGGGAGAGAGAGAGAAGCACCAGCCACCCCATCACAGACAGGGACTGCAATATGTTCTCTTCATTGAGCCTCCAAGGGAGGCCAGGCCTGGCCTTGCACAGCAGGTGGGGAAGGTGGAGGTGCACAGTCCCCATCTGCCGACACCGCTCCTGCCCCCTCGCCTTCCAGGCACCTATGTCAAAGCCGAATGCAATCACAGCCAGGACACGACTTGTGCCACGTGTGCCGAGAACTCCTACAACGAGCACTGGAACCACCTGTCCATCTGCCAGCTGTGCCGACCCTGTGACTCTGGTGAGTGAGGATGTACCTGGGGGCGGGGGGGGGGTCCTCCTTGGGGCACAGCCCCTCCCTAAGCTCCCGCATCTCCCTACCAGTGCTGGGCTTCCAGGAGATCGCGCCGTGCACCAGCAAGCAGAAAACCCAGTGCCGCTGCCAGCCCGGGATGTTCTGCGCCCACTGGGCCCTTGAGTGTGTGTACTGCGAGCCGCTTTCAGAGTGCCCGCCTGGCACTGAGGCTGAGCTCAAAGGTCAGGGGTCACCGAGGGCAGATGGTGCAAAGGAGACTGGGTGTTGGTGATCTTGGGTGGGGGCCAGGAGCGTGGTCCTGCCTCCATGGCAACCGCCTACCCCCACTATGACAGTTCTCTCTCTGGCATAACCAGACCTGAAGGGTCTGCTGAGAGCTGGAACCGGGACGCTGGGGAAGCTCGGGCAGCTCACCCTGACCGCCTGCCCTTCCCCTGCCAGGTGAAGTGCCCGAGGCCAACAACAATTGCGTCCCCTGCAAGGAAGGCTACTTCCAGAACACCTCCTCCTCCAGCGCTCGCTGCCAGCCCCACACCAGGTGACAGCAGCCCTGCAGTGCCCCTCCCCCTCGCCCCTTCAAGCCCCACGTGCCCGCTGGAGTTGGGGCTGTTGGGGGCTGGAGCACAAAGAGATGGGGGCCCTTCTCGTCCACAGGTGTGAGGACCTCGGCTTGGTGGAGGCAGTCCCAGGCACCACCCAGTCCGACAGGACATGCCAAGACCCACCCGAGCCGTTGCCAGGTGAGGGGCAGGTGAGGGGCACCGGGGGTGTCTGAGAAAATGCCTTAGTCCCCCCATACTTAAGGGGAAAAAAAAGAAAAGAAAAAAAAAGTGAATCCTTCCTTCCCAGAACTGGACAAGAAGGAAAATTCCTTAACGAGATAGGTAGCATTGTTAGGCCGGTGTACTTCCACGCACACTGTAAAGTCACATCTAAAGTGACGCCAAGGGGCACTCCCACACCGACATGCAGCGGTGCACACCAGCTGTCATCATTTTGGACACCAGGCTGCTCTCCTCCTTGCCTGATTATACACTCTCATTGTTGGGAAGATAATCCCCCGTTGGACTCCAGTCTCTTGCTTTTTTTTCCCCTGTGGACTGATGGGTTTTCGCAGACTGGTTGCAGGGTGTATCTGATGTCTGAAATCGCTCGTGATTGACAGCATCTAGCGTGCATGCTGATTTTCATGACCCTGGCTCCCGTCTCCTGGGAGCTGGTGTGTCTCGGGCGCTCTGTCCGCACTTGACCGGCACTGCCTCCTGGAATCTCGGTGGTGAGCCTGGGAGGTGGGCGGCGGTGACTCTCCTGGCTGACTCAGCGAGGAAGCTGAGGTGCATGAGGTTATGTTTCTCGCCCTGGGTCCCCAGCTCCTCTGTCCAGAGCCCGTGCTGTAATGTGGGCCTGCCGCACACAGGAAACACAGATGAGCTGCATCCACAGGCCCAGCACTGGGCCTGTGCACTCCTAACATCTTGCTGTTTGCCCTCCTTGGGCAGTTTTCTATGCCTCCAGACATACAATCTGTTGTTTTACTAAAAGTGGAGTCATTTCAATGTTCTGTAGCCTGACTTTCCATTCAGTAATAATCATAAGTATTTTTCATGCCTTCTTGCTAATTTCTAAGTCTCCAGTAGCAGTGGCAGTGTAGAGCTTGATGTTTAGAGAGGCTGCAGGGTAACCCACTTGGTGTGGAGAAGAAAATTGATGCTCAAAGAGGAGAGGTGACGGGGGGTTGGGACGGCGGGCAGTGCAGGTGTGCAGGCTCCGGGCTCGGTCTCTCCCCGTGCCCCCCATCCTGTACTTTCTTGGGCCAGAGACTCCTGAGGGTCCCAAAGGGCAGCGCACCCCAAATACAAGCAGAAAGCCCCCCGCCCCCCCCGGGCGTCCCCAATGGGCAGGGGAGACCCCGTGCTCCGGAAGGCAGCACGGAGCCCCATGGAAAGATGGAAACCAGGAACTGCCATGGATCAGGGAACCCAGCTCAGGGCCCCTTTCTCCTCCCCACCCAGAACCTGCCCTGAGCACAGGGGTGGGGATCCGGAAGCCCTGCTCTCTCAGGCGGCCAGAGGCAGAGTTCAGGAGCAGGAGCCCCCCACCCTGCTCTCCCACACCTGCAAACACCCCATCAGGTATCCAGGGGCGATCCCAGCTCCTCTACAGTGGTCCCTCCTCGGAAAAGTGGCCCATGGCTGTTTCCGGTGCCAGGCCCCGCCCACTCCCACTTCTAGCCCCTGCAAACCAACTGTCCCAGCCTCCAACCCTTCTCCCCCACTGGATGGCTGGGATCCCGGGCACCTGCATCGCCCCCCTAGCCTCCCAGAGGCTCCTCTGTGTGACCCAGGGGAGCTCTCTCTGTCGGAACTGCGATGCAAACTGCCCCGCTCTGTCTGGGCTGCCCCAAAGTTTGGAAACTCCTTAACTTCTCGGCCCTTGGCGCTTTGCTGCCACCCCTGCAGGGACCGTGCTGGTGCTGGCCATCCTGCTGCCGCTGGTGTCCTTTCTGCTCCTCACCATCCTCGCCTGCACCTGGAAGAGCCTCCCCTCCCTCTGCAGGAAGCTGGGTAAGAAGGAGCTGCGGGCCCTCCCACATGGTGGGCGGGGGTGGGATGGAGTGGGGTGGGATGGGGATATTCAGCTTCCCCAGTGCAAGCCCTTGTGCATGTGTGCCCTCAACACAGACACCACTGGCTCCATCCAGGCCCTGCTCTGAGGCTGGAGATGAGGCTGGCAACAGCCTGTCGCTCATGGAACCCCAGGGTGGGCCGTGCGGTGTGGAGGGTGCGAGGTTGGGGTCCGAGGCCAGCTGGGGTCAGTGGCCTACACCCACTTCATTTTCCGTTACAGGATCCCTGCTCAAGAGGCACCCGGAGGTAACGGGGGAGGCTGGGAAGGCAGCGGTGATGGGGGCATGAGGTGGGGCCAAGCAGGAAGAGACCTAGTGCACGCGGCACCATTCGTGCATTCTTTCCCCTGCTGAGCACGCCTGGTGCCAGCCTGTCCCAGGCACGGCGGGTACAGCAGTGAGCAGAGCAAAGCAGCAGGCCCCCTGGAGTCCACTCGTCCTTGCAGCCAGAATAAAGTTAAGCTAATATATAGCAGGAAGAGAAGAAGGGGAAGACGTCTCTGGGAAGCTGCTATTTGAGCAGAGAGTTGAAGAAGTGAGAGACCCAGCCATAGAGCTGTCTGGGGGAGTGCGCTTCAGGAAGAGGGAACGGCAGGTGCAAAGGCCCTGAGGCAGGGGGCAGGCATTGAGCTGCCAAAGCCCAGAGAGGGCTGTGGGGAGGAAGGAAGGATGGTGTCTGGGACTCTTGGCATAGGTTGGTTCTTTGTCTCTCTCCTGCAGGGAGAGGAATCCCCCTCCTGCCCCCCTCCAAGGGTCAACCCACACTTCCCTGACCTGGTGGAGCCGCTTCTGCCCGTCTCTGGAGACTTGTCTCAGGCCTCTGCCGGAGCCCCGGCCGCCCCGGGCCTGGAGGAAGTGGTGCTACAGCAGCAGAGTCCCCTGAGCCAGACCAGAGAGCTGGAGGCTGAGCCTGGGGAGCAGGGCCAGGTGGCCCACGGTGAGCCCAGGTCCCACCTGCAGGGCGGGGGGCCCGGGGAGGCAGAGCAGGGAGGCAGGGAATGAAGCAAAATGAAATAAAAGTCCAAACTCCAGGTAAGTCAGAGACCCTGCCAGCCAACCAGGGTCGTGTCTGGGGACACAGGAAGAGAGTGAAGAGCCCAGAAGCAGGCATGAATGCAGGGCCCCAGCGAAGGAGGGGCGGGGGTGGGGGAGGAGGTGGGGGGGCTGGGAGGACTCAGGAGGCCCCCTCCACCTCACTCTACCTCCCCTCCTCCAGGTGCCAATGGCATTCATGTCACCGGTGGCTCTGTGACTGTTACTGGCAACATCTACATCTACAACGGGCCAGTACTAGGGGGAGCGCGGGGCCCTGGGGACCCGCCGGCTCCCCCCGAGCCTCCGTACCCTATTCCCGAAGAGGGCGCTGCAGGCCCTCCCGGGCTCTCTACACCCTACCAGGAAGACGGCAAAGCTTGGCACCTGGCCGAGACAGAGACACTGGGCTGCCACTCCCTCTGACAGGGGCCCCGGGAGCCAACTGTTCACCTGTACTTTATGGTGTCTAGGAAGGAGCAAGGAGAAGGGAGGCACGAGAGCACCTTCTCCCTGGAGGCTTCGCTGGGCCTGGGCATCGCTCTGAGCGCACAGCCCTAAGGGATCAGGCCTGAGACCTCTTGGATAGCAGGGCCGGGCACCAGCTGGGTACAGTGCCCGCCGTGGGACTCTCACCACTGCCTGGGCAAGCCTGACACCCCACTGCAGACTCGCCACCTGCTGGGGCTGCACCAGCTCAGCCTCAGCCCTGGACGGGGCGAGCGATGCTAACGGCTGCCCCTCAGCACTCTGCACCTTGAATGTGGCACAGGAGGTGCCAGCACATGGCCACCTGCACCGGCGCCACCGGGAGCTCTGGCGGATTTGTGGTGCTCACCCCCATGGCCCTTGGAGGACCCATGCTTCACGTGGACTGAGGTAGACCCTGCGTGGGGCAAGGTTATGTGGAAGACGTCCCCGCCCCCCCTGTAGCACTTAGAGGAGAGGAAAGGGAGTGAACAGAAACTGGAGGTTGGGTTGGGTTGGTGGGGTGGGGGAGAGTTTAGAAGAGGGGAGAAATGACAAATGTATTTATAAATTGTAACCACGTGCAAATAAAGAAGCTGAGACCCAGATCATTTTTGTACACTTAAAAATATTTTATTAATATAAAGAGAACAGATTTCATGGATCAGTCATTTATTTTGGGGGAATTTATATTAGAAATACCATCCTACTGGACCGGCACCGTGGCTCACTTCGCTAATCCTCCGCCTGCGGCGCCGACATCCCATACGGGCGCTGGGTTCTAGTCCTGGTTGCTCCTCTTCCAGTCCAGCTCTCTGCTGTGGCCTGGGAGGGCAGTGGAGGATGGCCCAAGCGTTTGGGCCCTTGTACCCGCATGGGAGACCAGGAGGAAGCACCCAGATCCTGGCTTCGGATTGGCACAGTGTGCCAGCCCTAGCGGCCATTAGGGGAGTGAACCAACAGAAGGAAGACCTTTCTGTCTCTCTTTCACTGTCTATAACTCTACCTGTCAAATAAAAAAAAATAATAATAAATGCCATCCTACTGAGGCAGCATCAAAAGCCAAGGTCAAAGACATTGAAATGTAATCCCCTAGAGGCGCTTCTATGTGGGCCCAGTGTAAACACGGTATTAGCAGGGCCTCGCCAGGCAGTGGTCTAAATGCATCACCCTGCTGACTTCCTTAACCCTCACCCCACGTGGCACGTGCAGTTACTGTTCCATTTCACAGAGGAGGAGACAGAGCCACAGAGCAGGTAAGGAACGGGCCCAGCTCAGCTGCACACGGCAGAGCTGGGATTCCAGGAGCCTCTTGAGTACGAAAAGCTTCCCGGCCCGCTGTGCTAGCATCGCTCTGAACAGGGGTGGCCTGGCTTTCTCAGACAACGAGCTCGCTTGCATGTGTGACAGCTCTCATGCCCAGCCCCCGTGATTTCCAACACGGCAGCTCCTCCAAGGCTGGATGAAGGGAACCATGTGCACTTTATATATTTTTAAAATATTTATTTATTAATTTGAAAGTCAGAGTTACACGGAGAGAGGAGAGGCAGAGAGAGAGGTCTTCCATCCACTGGTTCACTCCCCAATGAGCTGCAACGGCCGGAGCTACGCCAATCCGAAGCCAGGAGCCAGGAGCTTCTTCCAGGTCTCCCACTTGGGTGCAGGGCCCAAGGACTTGGGCCATCTTCTACTGCTTTCCCAGGCCATAGCAGAGAGCTGGATCGGAAGTGGAGCAGCTGAGACTCGAACCGGTGCCCATATGGGATGCCAACACTGCAGGCAGCGGCTTTACCCGCTACGCCACAATACCGGCCCCCTCATGTGCACTTTAAACCTGGAACATCACAGGTCAAGTTCAGGTTCTGTCGGTGAACAGAAATCTGGGCGGGCTCCTTGTAGCTCCAGAGAGGGTCACTGTGATGTCTGCTTTGTGCTGTTTGATCTGATCTTCAGTCTTCTCTAGCTCTCTTTAGTATATATTGGGGGTCCCTGAGAGTCCTGCCCCGTGCTGCTGGGTACAGGCTGTCAGAGCTCGGCGGACAGGCAGGCAGCCGCTGCCAGCAGGCTGCGCTTTCCATAAAAGGCCACGCTGTCTGGATCTGGGGTTAAGGACAGGGCTGGGGCCCAGCAAGACAGCGTAGCTGCACAATGCATACCCCGGGCGGCGGCGTCTGACCCAAATGAGGCCCTGGGTTATTTAAGGTTGACTGTCAAAGCATTCGCTCCAGCTTCCTTTTTGGGGAAGTAAACAATGGCGAGTTTATCTTTAAATGGAGTTCAGTCCTCCCACTCCTGCAGTATGCTGGTCCCAGACCGCATGATTCTCCAGTCACCATTTATCATTCAATAAGCAAACTGTATACATTGTTCACAAAATTAAGGAGGGAAAAATGTTTGGAGAAACGGTGCTAAGGTATAACCCTGTAAGACACCATTCAAGTTGAGGATCATGTCTGCCCATATATATGCCTATTCATATCCAAAAAATAGTCAGGCTCCTGTTGGTCTTGGTACTGAGATGGCATTCAACCTGTAGCTTAAGTGAGAAGACCGGTTTTTCCCGGTGCTGGGCCTTGCTTTTAGGAACATGATCTAACTTTCTGCACGTTGATACCTTTCTATGTGTGTCCAAAGTAGCGTTTTAGTGTTCTCTTGCTAGATATCGCCAACATTTCTTAAGTTTATTCCTAATGTTTTCTCTTTGCAAGTACTACAGAAATAGGATATTGTCATTTCTTCTACCCCATCATCTACTGGATTCTTTATCATTTATAAAGATTTGTGAATGAATTCTCTGAGTGAAACAATGTGAAGTTTGTCTCTGCTGTCTTTTACATTTCTAGCATTTTTTTTTTTATTTGGCAGGTAGAGTTATAGATAGTGAGAGAGAGACAGAGAGAAAGGTCTTCCTTCCGTTGGTTCACTCCCCAAATGGCCGCCACGGCCGATGCTGCACCGATCCGAAGCCAGGAGCCAGGTGCTTCCTCCTGGTCTCCCATGCGGGTGCAGGAGCCCAAGCACTTGGGCCATCCTCCACTGCCTTCCCGGGCCACAGCAGAGAGCTGGACTGGAAGAGGAGCAATTATGACTAGAACCCGGCGCCCGTATGGGATGCCAGTGCCGCAGTGGGAGGATTAACCAAGTGAGCCACGGCGCCGGCCCCATTTCTAGTATTTTAACATCTCCTCTAAATATGTTGCCAGAATAATGATAAATAGTCATGGTCATCTCTGTCCTTATCCTGGTGTTAATGGCAGCAGTTTTTTTTTTTTAATTTTTCAATATTTATTTATTTGAAAGGCAGAGAGTAAGAGAGAGAGAGAGAGAGAGTGAGAGAGATCTTCCATCTGCTGATTCACTCCCCAAATGGCTACAAGGGACCAGGGCTGGTCCAGGCCAAAGCAAGAAGCCTGGAACCCCATCCAGGCCTCCTGGGTGATGGCAGGGGCCCAAGCACTTGAGCCATTCTCTCCTGCTTCCCAGACAGGAGCAGGGAGCTGGAGCTGATGCAGAGCAGCCGGGACTTGAACTGGCGCTCTGATACAGGATGGCGGTGCAGCAACTGGTGGCTCAACACACTGCGCCACAAAGCCAGCCCTGGCAATACTTTTAGTACATTTTCATTAAGCAGAACTTGAAATAGATACATTTATTTTATTCCACTTAGGAAGTTCCTGTATCTTTTTTTTTTTTTTTAAGATTTATGTATTTACTTGAAAGAGTTACACAGAGAGAGGAGAGGCAGAGAGAGAGAGAGAGAGAGAGAGAGAGAGAGAGGTCTTCCATCCACTGGTTCACTCCCCAGTTGGCTGGAGCTGCGCTGATCCGAAGCCAGGAGCCAGGAGCTTCTTCCGGTCTCCCACGTGGGTGCAGGGGCCCAAAAACTTGGGCCATCTTCCACTGCTTTCCCAGGCCATAGCAGAGAGCTGGATCGGAAGTGGAGCAGCCAGGACTCGAGCCTGTATGGGATGCCGGCACTGCAGGCTTTGGCTTTACCCGCTATGCCACAGCACTGGCCCCTGTATCTTTTTTTTTTCCAAAGATTTTATTTATTTATTTGAGAGGCAAAGTTATAGACAGAGATAGGGAGAGACAGAGAGAAAGGTCTTCCATCTGCTGGTTCACTCCCCAAATGGCCACAACGGTCAGAGCTGGAGCTGAAGCCAGGAGCCAGGAGCCTCTCCCAGGTCTCCCACGCAGGTGCAGGGGCCCAAGGACTTGGGCCACCTTCCACTGCTTTCCCAAGCCATAAATAGAGAGCTGGATCAGAAGTGGAGCAGCGAGAACACAAACCAGTGCCCATCATAGGATGCCGGCGCCACAAACCGAGGCTTAGCCTACTCTGCCACAGCACCGGCCCCATCTGTATCTAATTATTTCATTGTAACTCAGTGGATAATAAAGAGTAGAAGCAGAGAGACCAGATAGGAGGTTGCAGTAGCAAGCAGATGGAGAAAAGTGGGTGGTTTGGGGCTATACCTTGCAGACAGGTCAGCAGCGTCTGTTGAGGGACTGAGTTCCAGCTGATCTCCTGTGACCTTGGGCTACCAGTTTACTAAACTAATCTGAGCCTCACTTTCAAACTTAGCATTCAGAGCTCCAGAATGGGGCGTGAGCATTGGGCCTAATGGTTAGGAGGCCGATTAGGATGCGTGTGTCCCACATCAGAGTGCCTGGATTTGGTTCCCAGCTTCAGCTTCCTGCCAGTGTGACCCCAGAAAAGCAGGGACGATGGCTCATGTAATTGAGTCCCCACTGCCCACATGGGAGACCTGGGTTGAGTTCCCAGCTCCCCAGCTCTGAGGTCATTCGAGAAGCGAACCATGGGATGGAAGCTCTTTCTCTGTCTCTGTCTCTCTGATTCACAAATAAAAAAAAAAAATAAAAAGCTTATGTTTAATAAGAAATAAAACATTCAGTGAGCATTTACTGTGTCCCAGGCTCCTGAAGACACAATA